CTGGCCGTGAATTTCCATTTCCTTGATGCCAATTCTATTGTATATTTTGGTGAGTTCTGCACCGCATTACCTACCATTATTCACCTTTTTGAAACGAAACTAAAGTGTGCTACATGTTCAACCTATTGAAAACTGTACTATCACAAGTCTGAATGCACTACTGAACATGAACTCTTTTTTTTTTTTTTTGCAGTACATGCCTGTTGTATATTGCATCTAATTCTTTCTTGCTGGAGGACTGTGGTTCTTCCAGATGCAAATACAGTACACATGGAGACCAATTAAGTACGTGTTTGTGTTTCTTTTCTTCCCTTTCAATTTCAAACAATCGGTTGCATGGACTGTCAGATTTTTTTTTCACCCATTCCATTCGTAGAATGGAAATTCCACAAGTCTGTTAGTGCCTGGGCTGACGGCCTCGCGCAACGGCCGCACGCGGAGCGCCCACCACGCTCGCCACGATCACGCCCGCGCTCGCCATGCCGTCCGCTCGCTGTGCTCGCTACCGTAGGACTCGCTCTAGTCGTTAGACATCCTGTGCTTGTATAAATGTATGTTCGACGCCCTTCGGGACATCTTCCCGGCGGCCAGCGTTCTTTCAGATGCAGAGCTCCCCAGTAGCAATGGAACAAGTTCACTGGTGTGCGGTAGGTGCAGGGGGCCTCTCGGCATTTAGATGGCCGGCTTTAGGGAGATAAGCTAGTCATTGATATCTCATGTCTTCTTCTTTCTGGTTGTTTATCAGTCATCATGTAGTCACGTTTTTATGCACCAAACCGTGTGCGAGTGCCCGGAAGGCCCGCGTTGTAACGTTCTAAACGTTCTTTTCTTCTTAATACAAAGATACGCAGCTCTCTTGCGTATTCACGAAAAATAAATGTATGATGAGATGATCAATACAAGCTGCGGTTCTTGTTCTATCTCGAGCTCTCACTCTCTTCATGGTATCAATGACTGAAGGTTCTGATCTTGTGAATCCCTTCGCGTCCACCTCTGCTTCCGCTCCCATGGCCTCCCCAGCCACCTCCTCTGATTCCTCTGCATCCTCTGCTTCCACTGTCCCTGCTGCGCCTCAACCCGCGCCGGCGTCCGTGGTCCAAACCATGAATATCCGGTCACATGTTCCAGTGCTCCTCGACATGGTGGAATCGAACTATGCCCAGTGGCTGTGCTTCTTCGAGTAATTACTAACCGGATGAAAATTTATAAATGTGGATGAAAATGTTATAGAGTAATTACTAACTAAAATCTATCACAACCATAATAAGTATATATCTATATAAGTATTGTGTTCGAATATTTAATAAATGAGAGGTAGCTCAAGGTAATAGTTTTGTAACAATAGGGCCTCATTTTTTTCCATTAGAGACTCCGCATTAGTTCTCGTGAGACACGCTGGAAAAAAACAAATCCAATTCTCACAAAAATTAGAAACATCAATCCTGTAAACTCTAATAATCATAGTCATTGGTCTATTATATTTTCTAAAGAGTTACCCACCACTAACATTATGAAAATATTCTAAAATAAACCCTAAACCTATATCAAAATCACCGAGCTCTACCATTATAAAAACTAATATAAAGTAACCCCATAATCTTCGTCCAATTTACTCATGCATATCATCATAAAGCATAACTTAAAATGTTATTCTAAATTTGTATCTAAGTTACGCACGTATATTGTTATTAAAAATAACCTAAAGTAAACACCTAAATCTTAATCTAATTATCTTCATGTGCATCATTCAAAAAAGTCGAAAAGTAAACTAATATATGATTCTTAATTACTTATTTATGTCATTGTTAATATAACTAAGTTAAGGTATATACGCATGATAAATGTCACCATGTAGACCATCTATACATGTATGTGAGAAAGTGATGAAAAGTATTGATTTTTATGCTAAACACAATGTATGGAGATGCGATACAAAATGAAAAAAGTTTGAATGTGGATGAAAAAGTGCATAGAGTAATTATAATTAAAAATCAAACATAACTGGACAAAGATAAGTACACATCTATATAAGTATTATGTTGAAGTATTGAAAAACTGAGAGAGTAGTAAGTAAACAATTTTGATTATTAACTATGAGTTTAATTTCTAAATAATTTTTAAAAACATTAGCCTACACGGGAGCACGGGTTGATGGGCTAGTTCTAAATAAATAAAATGGAATCAAGTGATCCTGAGCTGATTCATGTCAAATTTCTGCATCCCGAAAGATGCATAGGGTGCCAATCAAAACCAACTGAAACAGCACCACCAAATTGGTCAGCAGGCTGCACTCCACAACAACATGCATGCGTGTTCATTGATTGATTGTAGGCGGTTTAGTTTAATTAGCATCTCAATTATGCCCCTGCAGCACGCTGATGATTTTAATGAGAAGAGAATTGCACATAATCACTCCCTATTAGGCCCACGATGCCGCAGAGAGTTCTGAAGAGCTAGCTCCATCCATTTCCTTTCATGTGGTGAGCGCCAGCTGCAGGGCGAAGCTAGTTAGTGGAGGAGGAGCACAGAGATCATCAGAGTGGTCGGCATCAGAGCGCGTCTTGCTAGATTAGGTGACACACTACTCTGATTATATTGATGACAAGATTAGGTGCGATTCTTAGCTAGATTTCTGATTACCCACTTCCACTCTAGCTTTCACACACTACTCTGATCCCCATCATCGTCCACAATAATCTAATAGTGGTAGAGTTAATGGTGGGTTTGGTGTCCTTGCTTATTATGATTTATGAGTCAAATTAAGATGACAACCTCTTCCAAGTTGGATGTACTATTTACTTATATTTTAGTGCTGCTTATATCACTCAGTAATGTGCGTGTTGTTTTGGTTTATGGATAGAGCAGTGTTATTTGGCCATCAAATGTAACTTTTACTAAGTGGCTTGCTGGAAAAATCAAATTTAGCAAACGCAAAACGTATTGAAAATCCAGCTTTGCTATATGTCATTTATATGCATGTTTACTATGTGACTAAACTTTTTGCCTTTTTGTGTGATCCAACAACTAACGACGAGCTAGATGCTCACTAGCTTTGTGACTGGTAGGATAGATGTCCATGTGGAGATCAGACTTTGCTGCTTATTTGAGTGCATGACAGAGACACGCGAGGATCTGTTTGAATGTTTTGCAATTTGCAGCATGCACGTCCATTTCAACACCGCCAGTTGCAGGCAGATATGCATACAATATCAGCAATTCAGCATTCATCTTCCGTCGAGGATGGATAAAGAATACTTGTATAGTAATGCAGCAGGGCTAAAACTTGAGCACAACTAGCTATTATTGATTGCATCTGCACATCTGGAAAAGGTGACTTAGGACATGCCTGTGAGTGCTTGCTTTCTGACTAGGACACTTACTAACCTGACGACGTTGGCAACTCAGCTCCTCATGTTCAGTCAGTCACCTCTGACCAACGTCATCGCATCTATATGATTTCCTTGGGCTCAATGGGCCAAGCTTGCAGGGGGTGTTTGGTTACACGGACTAAAGAAACTTTAGTCCCTGTCACATCGAATGTTTAGATACTAATTAGGTGTATTAAATATAGACTAATTATAAAACCAATTGCACAGATGGAGGCTAATTCGCGAGACGAATCTATTAAGCCTAATTAATTCATGATTAGCATATATTACTGTAGCATCACATTGTCAAATCATGCACTAGTTAGGTTGTATCGGTACGAAGAAACATAGTGGAATAATTCGAACTTGAGATTTCTACTCTAATATCATTCGACTCAAAAAATTTTATCCTGCTTTATTGTTATCTCGTTCCTTTCTCTAGATATAAGCTAATTAACGTGTTTTTGTTCCTTTTTGCCGACTAGTTTTGTGCTAATATCTCGTTGCAATTCGACAGGATTTGTCAGGCACAATTTCTTTAGCATCATGTTGCTTAATCTGTGCAGTTATACTTATAGCCGCGACATGGAAAAACTATCTTAAAAAAATGAAAATACTGCCAGTCAATACAAGAGAAATGATTAGTTGTAGTAATAATATTCCCTAAACTTTGTCCTGTTCCTTGATTCTTCTGACGTTTTTAGTATAAAGTTCTCTCATGCCCTGAATTTGATATTCTCTTTCGGCAATAGATGCCAAATGTCTTGTGAATCTTTTCTTTTTTATGAGGATGCAGCAGATCTGAACAGATGAAAATAGGCATGGATGGAGTAAGAGGACTACCAGTTGTGGTTCATCTTCAATGTGAACGCTTGACTTTCTATGCCGTACCAAACGGGTTAGCTGAAAATCCTGAAATGCTGAATCAAGTTCCTTCATCAGCAAACTTCTCCTTTCAGGATTCGACAAGCATCGGTCACTTTTTTCTTTTGCATCTCCAATGCTGCTTCTAGGTGGAAACCACTAGCATAATACTGTTGTGATATGAGAATAATTGGTTACAACTAACAAAGTTGCAACTCTTTTTTCCACTAAGGGCCGCGCCCGAATTTCATTACTCCAAAAAAGCAACGAAATTACAAAGTTTTGAAGTCCGCCGCAAGTCTAAAAAGCAAGTAAAAGCTACGCAGTTGCTCCAGGATCACAACACACAGGGCTCCCTCTCCCCAAGGTGTACCTTTTAGCCGCCAGCACAGAGCCCTTTTAGCCGCTAGCACATATCTTTTCTGGCCTGGTGTATTACAAGTCTGATAAAGGTGCTACCTTTAACCAACAGCAAAATGAGCAAAGTTGCAACTCAGATTACTCGCGAGTTGCATTGCTCACAGTGATGTTACTTGTTACATATTGTCCAAAGTTCCCTTCTCGGAAAACTAAAATCATGAGTGCCTTACTGCCTACAAGTTATATCTGCAGAAACTTGACAAGTTATTAGGTCTTAGTCAGTTGCAGTCAATTTACGGCTGCATTTCACGAACTATATTTTCTATCTGTCTTTCTTTTGTAAATCACTGTGCTCTCTTTGCTTCAGTGATCATGCATAGTAGTCAGAAAGGGCTTCATCACCAAGGGCTATGAGGAGCAGATCATGGGTGTGTACGGCCTCCAACAGATCCTGTCCAGAACAACAACGAAAGCCATGATCACCGTGCAATCCACGTTCGGCTCGACCACAAGGCTGAACACGTCATCGCCAAGCGTACAAGAATTTGATGCGGCTTCAGCCTTCTTCCTCACTATCCTGGCCACCTCCTCGCCGTCACTGTTGCGGATCTTGCAGTTTCCTCTCCTGAAGCAGCCCTCAACCAAGAAGTTGGGACCTTGGCCAGGATTGTCAGATGCAGTGCTGCATCCTGACATGAACACTTCTGCTTCATGACCATTTTGCAAAATCGAGCACTTTCTCATTGAGAAGAGTGGGTGTGATGTCCTCTTGCCTTGACCTTCTTCTGATGCTTTATAGCAATTCCACTGGTCGCGCATGCTGAAGATCTGTCGCAAAAAAAAAAAATCTTAGCTTTGTTAGCTTTTGCTGCTACTAGTTCTAGTGAATTTGCTGGCCAATCGGAGACCAATATTTGTTTTCATCTGTTGTACCGGAGAAAATTAACTCCATCCGAATAAAGAAATGAGATCAACGCTTATTTTTTTTAATGTACTTCTACATTGGATTTAGTCACACTAGAGACTATAGTGAACTTTCAAAAAAGCAACCGAGTCTGGCAGTGGCTGGACACGACGAAGACTACAAAGCTAGCATTTTGTCAGTTCTGAGAACATTTGATTTAGTCACACTAGAGACTATAGTGAACTTTCAAGAAAGCAACCGAGTCTGGCAGTGGCTGGACACGACGAAGACTACAAAGTTAGCATTTTGTCAGTTCTGAGAACATTTGGTATTTTGTTAGGTGCATTTTTCCTATGGAGCTTACTGACTGAATTTAATTTGCTGTAAAAAAATGTCGTTTTTCATTTTGTCTGAATCTTGTGGTGAGCTACCAAATGTTTGCAGTAGTGGTACTATGTGAAATAGACTATGTAAAAAATTGCATCCGATTGGTGAGAATTATTCTAGGAATTAAGAAAAACGGTTAGAGAGATAACAAACTCTCGTTGAAAGAGACCAGAATTATTTCTCCAGATGCTAGTACAAAAGAATGAAGTTCTGGATAACCATTTCCCTATCTGAAAAAGAATACCCTGATATACATATACATAAAAAAGGACTAACTGCAACTAGAGAAATTAATTCATAGATGATGACCATATTATTATTATTATATAAATAGCATTATATTGTGGAATGCCTCGGACCTTATTCATTGTAACAGTACTCGATGGATTAACATCCGAATATCATGATGGATCGATCGATGCGACTGGATCGTGCACATAAGGGATCGGGCAACGGATGGATGGATCACCGGTACCTGTGGCCTGAGGGCGAGGAGAGGCGAGCCTTGGCCATCCATGAGGAGCAGCTCGCCGGCGAAGACCTTGCTGCGGCGCGAGTAGTTGTCGACGCGGAAGGCGAGGGCGCCAGCGGCGTCGTAGACGGAGAAGCCGTCGGTGCCGTGGAAGCCCATGCTTGACCTCTTCCACACCGTGTACTGCCGGGCCGCCGGCGACGGCGACGTGCGGCCGGCATCTTCGCCGCGGCGGTGGGGACGAAGAAGAGGCCGCGTCGTCTCGGACGATGGGTGGATCCGGCTCATCGTCATGTTGGACCGATCGGGGAAGGCCGCCGTCATTGAAGAAGCGTTTGCCGGCGCATAGATCGGTTCCCTCATTTTATATAAAAATAGCAGTTTCTGTGTACTGTATGCCAGTTTGCCGCAGTTGGAATTTGGTTTTTGTGGTAGTAGGCTGTGACTCGTGACCTTTATGATTGTGTTGTGTGTGCATGATGAGCCAGAGACGAAGATTCCCATGCCATACCTAGTACAAGTTGTAGGCAGGAGAAGCTTCGTTCTAAGAATGAGAAGATCATTATTTATGGAATTACTTACTCCAAACTCAAAGTTGAATATTTCTTGTTGTTTTTGCTGTTTCATTTGTCTCCTGAACAGTTGGGCACCTTTTGACGCAGCCACCAGTTGTAATTTCTTTTAAAACTTTTAATGTCTCTCATTTCTAATAAAAATTCGACAAAGCTCTTGCCGTCCGTTAAAAAAAAACCGAAAGAAAAGTAATACCACGTAGCTTAGGTGGAAGCCATGAGAGACTACACTGTTGTACATCCATGTCATCTTTAGTTAGGTTTATTCCACCTAATGTAGCTAGCTAATAGTAAGGTATTACAGTACAGCAAATTAAGAATTCCAGCTGATCGATTAGATGGCCGAATGAAAGCCCGAAACGAGTGAAGACGCCTGCTGGCATGCATGAAGAGACATGGACTCGTGAGTTTTCAGTGATCGATCTCTAGCCAATGCCCAATGAGAAACCTACAATGTTTGTCACGTTGCTGACAACATTAGGGAGTAGATCATGCTCGTTACTAACCAAAAATTGTTTAGTATGGCAAGCCTAGCCTAATGGTGGGTTCGGTGTTCATGTGAGGATCTGCAAGTTAATTATTATTTTTCTGCAAGTTGCACATTTGATTAGCTGGTTCATCATCTATCACTCGATCAGCATCAAACTTTTGGGCGTTATGCTATGACATGAACTGTAGCTAACCTATAGATTCATATTATTCGATTGGTGGCAATTGAGATCAGCTAGCGCATCCAAGTTGTCCCGCATACTAGAGAACTCACCTTCCATCCAACCCTTTTTTTGTCCCGGTTGACTTTAGATCCGGGGCTAACAGGGGAGCTTTAGTCCCGGTTGTAACTGTTAGTGGGACGAGGAGGGCGTTTTATCCTGGTTGGAAACAACAACCAGGACAAAACGCCCCTTCCCACGCACCCTCTCCTGGTCCCCTCACTCCACCTTATCTTCCCACGTGCCCCCTCTTTCTCCCTTATCATCTCTCCCAGCCCGCCCCCTCCCTTCCCTCCCTTCGCCGTCCCTCCCCGCCTCCCCGCGCCGCCGCCCCCCTCCCTCCCTCTCTGGACGTGCTCCCCCCCCTCCCTCCCTCCCTCCCGCTTGCCGCCGCCCCTCTGCTGCCCCTCCCCTTCCCCTCTGCTCTCCCCTCTCCTTTGGTAGTGAGGAGGCAGTGGGCGAGGTGTAGAGTAAGCGATGTGGCTGAGGCAGCAGTGCTTGCCGGAGGGCTGTGGTGCTGAGGCGGGACACTGGCTGACAGCGTCAAAGCGTGGCGGGCTTGGGCACGCAGGTATGCTTGTCCCCTCCCTCTCCCTCTCCTTCTCCCTCTCCCTATCCGGCGGAGGATGTCGCGGGCCGGGCGGCCGGTGGGATGCGGGGCCAGGCGGCGTGCGGGCGGACGACCGTGCAGCATCCAAGTCGTCCCGCCGCCACGCACTAAAATGGTCCAGCAGGGAGCAGGGGAAAAAACTTAAACAAACTGTAAGCTAGCAAGACAAATGAAGTTACCAGCACGTACGTATGGATGTATGATGCCACTACTCTATACGTACCGAACTCCATGACGATATGCATGTATTGTCTCAACTCCAAACTAATTAAGTTGATTATTACGAAAGCCATGAACAGAAAACAATGCACAAAAAGGGAAGCGCAAAATGTACGTGTTTCAGCTACTGCATGTCTGTCTGTATGTGTGTGCATGCTGATGGTTGTTTTTCCGGCGTGATTGTCAAGGCTTACGTTCGCCATCCGCTGTGACGCACTAGCTTGATAGCATATCGCATAAACTTTCCATGCAGCTTCTTTGAGCGGCAGTTTTGCATATATCATCAGCTAGTAACGCGTGATGACTAGCTAGGTCTAAGGTATAAATATAGCAAGATCGCAATTTGATCCGAGTTTATTATACTCCATCCGTTTCAAATGGTAGGTTGTTTTAGCTTTGCTATATTCACAAATTTTTATTTGTGCATCTACACATATACTATATCTAAGTGCGTAGAAAAACTATATGCACCTGCTATACAATTTGTGAACGAGGGAGTAGTCATCGGTGGTAACTAGGATTCAATGCGAGTGGGTACACCGATGGGTAGTTCTAAGCCGGTTTATTTTTTTTTGTTCTACCCGTTTCCATTTTCTTTGAAATTTGAATAATTAAAGTTATATGAGTTTTGGGTCAACCAAAAGACTCTGGAAAAAAATAAACTTGCATCGCTACTGGCACATGTAAGAAGACTATCTATGAATCACTATATCAAATATAAATATAGCATAGATATTAATTAATCCCCCTTGAAGTTTTATTGAACAAAGATCATACTACCAAGTTTTTTTTACTGAATACTTCCTCCATTTCAAATTAGTTACAATTTTAGTTTTGTCCAAAGTCAAATGTTTCTATCTTTAACCATCAATTTCTAGAATTTTTTTTAGTTTAACAACATACTATTTATAAATTATAAAGATATTTTTCATGGTGAATCTTAAGACATAAATTTATGATATTAAAATATATGAATTTCTAAAAAATAATGATCAAAGATAAAAATATTTGATTCAGGAAAAAACTAGAATGGTGATACAAGCTATATCCGTTTCGAATGGATCCCTGTCATCAAAGGATACAAGTTTATATTTGATAAAATTTGGATCATTCCTTCTCGGATGAGTTGGGCCGTATTCATAGAGTTTTTTACCACCACCAAGGCGCCAACAAACAGACGAACGATCTAGGCTGGGCTTCAACATATTTGGGCTCCGAAACTGGGCTATCGCAGAATCAACGTCTCTCCCAGCAGAGGACAAAATATATAGTCGAAATTGACTAAACTAGCTGCTTCATCGGGCTATAGAGGAAATGCATTGTTTATTTTATTATTCCTCTGCAGAAAGAAGTCCACAAAGTACAGAGATGCTTTCCTAGGGTGAGCTGCATGCCTGACGGACAGAGTATCTTGTAGTTGTTTGTTAGGTGACTTGATTTGCGTGTGTTTAACTTCATGTGGTGTTTGCCAGCACTCCACCTCACAAAAACCAGCTCCACATTCTGCACGTGTTTGGCTGGTGGCAGTGCTCCAGCTCCCACTTGTCGTGAATAGTCTATTTTACCCTTTGTGAATGGATCCACGTGTCTGTCTCTTGTTTTTCCTCCCCCTTATATTTCTCTGCTCGCGTTCGAAGTAATCAGAACCCAAACTTTATGTTGTACTGAATTGAATCTACGCGAGCTGGAAGAATCCCCTGGCGATGGTGCCGTTGGCTCCCCTGGGTAGGAACCCGCCGGGGATCTTCTCGTTGCGCGAGCCATAGAGGATGCGTAGGACCTCCGCCGGCGTGCGCTAGAATCCGAGCGAGTCGTCGCCGGCGCCGAGGATGTTGCTGATGGTGCGCCGCTCTGCTCCCTGCTGCCGGTCGAGCACATTGACCCCCTCGTCCTTGGCGCCGTACCCGGACATCCGGTTCCGCCACTCCACTGCACTCGCCGAGGCTCGAGCTCGCCACCGCCGGGTGGAGCTCGCCGCGCGGAGCCTCACCCTCGCCCGCCATCCATCCATTTTCGCCGGAGATTGGGCCAGCGGCGCCCAATCCAGGCGGCGGTCCTCGTCCACGACTGCTCATGGTTCTGGCTTCCCAGCAGCTCGGCTTCCCGCGGGCAGCAAGGCACGGCAGTGGAGTGGGCAGGGGCGGCGCGGCCACGGTGGGAGGAGGCGACGGGAGGAGGTGAGCGAACCGGTAAGTTGCGTAATGAGTGACAACTGTGCGCAACTCCACGAGGAGGTTTAAAACTTGTGTTTTTGGAGCGTACTTGAGGTACTTGAAAAAAAACGTGGATCTGGTCCCAACTCCATATTTTTTCTGGAGCTGGACGTGTTTGGCAGGGAGTTTTGTGGGATTGGTGGAGTGAAGCTGTTTTTTTTAGCGGAGTGCTGTCAAACATCCCTTTAATCTGATTGAGTAAACTCACGTGCGTTATAGATACTACCAATAGTACACTTTGTGTTTATATTTTTAATAACTGTAGCAGGTTTAATTTAGACCTTCAGTAAGCACACTTGAATTAAAAACCAAACTCATCTTGTTGTCTAGTCAGAACTTGATGCCACTCGATCGCGTCAGAAATCTGGAAGTTTGCATTATCGTTCTAAACTACTACCAGTAGTAGATGTAGAGCATGAATCGGAACTGTGTGTCGATCCATATTTGTTGCTGTACTTGTGCATTGGGAATCTGTCACGTGGATATAGGAGAAATTCTAAAACGCGACGGGTCCCGGCCAGGGTTTGGCTCACCTTTTTTGAAGAAATAAATTTGAACACCCAAAATCTGTCACGGTGATGATTTGGGTATTTAGGTGTCATTAATCCGTCCGTTATGTCCTTTACATTTTCCTTTCGAATGATCGCCCACCAATCAGAACCATCATTTGGATATGACAGGATAAGGTTGCGTTGCACATCACATTCCGTGTGCGTGTGCCCGGTAGACCCGCGTTGTAACATTTCTGAACGTTGTTTTTTTTTAATACAAAGATACGCAGCTCTTCTGCGTATTCACGAAAAAAAAATAGCGGCCATCCTTATGAATGACCCAAATGGTGACACTTGTTTGGTTGCTGCGTTCCATCTGTTTTGTGCTTTCCATGGATTAGACGATAGGCTCCCTTTCATTATCAGCCCGGGAAATAAAGCAGAAACACTTTATTTGCCTAGGCTAGGCTTAACATCTG